ATGTTGATGCAAGGTTTGTAGCAATTACTGAAACTGACGTTCAGCAATATTGCAAATGTGAATTTGTGAATGTAACGTTCCAGCAATGTCACAGCAACATTATTGTTGCAACTTCACCTTTGCAATATTGCTGAATATCCGTTTCAGTAATTGATTTAACATTGCATCAACATAGCTCTCAACTTTGCTTTGTGGGCAATGATTCAGATTTCAGAATAATTAACAGTCTTGATTGTATAGATTGAATATTTAATCTAAATAAGTGCACCTAGGTGCAAGCACCTATATGTACAGGAAGTATAAATGTAGTGCATAATATCAAAAATACTGGACATATTCAGTTATTCTGCCACAGGGTAATCAAGCCAATCAAGGCCCAAAAACTTGTACCTACACCAAACTTTCCATAGCTCAAAACTTCACAAATTTCCTCAAACTTTCAACTGCCCAAACTTCCTGGAACTTTATGTACTCACACCAAACTTCCCATGTGATTACCCCCTCAGGTTTCTGTTAGCTCAATGGATGTTTGGGTTTTCTGCTCTTTTTTTCATATCACTAATGAATAATACCTCAACTTCAAACCAAGGAACATTCAGAAGTTAACTGTTTTCCTACCTTCAGAAGAGATTGCATCATATCAGGAAAAACAAAATTTTTCTAAATGGTTTGTGGAAGATTTATAAACATTTGATTGCAATCTTCAGACATACCTCTCTTAAATGTTTTGTTAGGTTTTAAGTGATGCATGGTCTAGTATAAGAGTAAATTGATTGGAAATATACTCTTACCTGGAGTAGATCTTGAAGAACACTCTATAATCTTGAAGGAAACATTTTTTGGTTCATTAGCTGCAATATATATTTGAACTGTCAAGACATCATCTTCTATGAACATTTTTGCTGGATTTTGTATATCCTTCCAATCCAAATAATTGGAAAATCCTGCAGTGTCTTCAACAGAGGAAAATTCATGTTCCAGTCTTCTGGAAAAAATTTCACGACGAAGGGAAGGATATGTAATTCAACAACAGCACGACAAGACCATTCTGGTGAGCCATCATGCCCACTGCATCTAATATAATACCCAAAATAATCAACTTGACGAGTTGGGGAAAAATAGTGCTGCAAATTCGCAACCTCCATGCCAAATTTCTCACATAGAATATATTATTGAGAAGTCCAACATTTGGTGTAGAAAGCTTTTTGATAAAATCCTTCATTATAAAAGTGAATTTTACTTCTGAACGAAATGGGGCCTCAGCAACATGAATATCTTGAATTGTTATTGTGGGATTCACATTAGCTAATAGAGGTCGTTTCTTAGCAGCATTATCAGAAGAGTCAGCAGCCAGAATTTCTTTTTTTTTTATTATCTCTCATTCCTGATTTGCTTACCTTGCTATCTGATGGTTGAGATTTTGGTGAAAACGCCTCGGCGAAATCAGTATCACAATCAAAAGATGTATTACTAGAAGTAATGCTAATATTGCTATCAGAGTCTTCTTCAAGGTCCATTTGTAATTTGTAGCTAGAGTTTTTGTACTGAAGATACCTTCGTTCGGTGAACAGGTTTAGGAATGTTTTTTGCAACATCAGACTATGCAAATGTTAACATTTTTCGAATCTTAAGAATTTTACCTATCAGTTGAATTTCAGCAGGAAGGAATTTTTCACTTGGGTTAGTTACAGTAAGTTTTGCTGAAAGAATTTGAGTATGGATTTTTTTTTTAGTCAATTGGGAAACAATGTTATTTTGACAGTGAATTCAATTACCATAAAATTTAAATACTTTTGATGGTTTGAAATGACCTCCGTTAACATGAGTGTGAAGATCAATCAGACGTGTAAACTTTGAATGTACCCTTTGCATCAATTCCGTTTCGTTCATTTCCTCTGCCAATTCATCTGTTTGGATACTATTGATGCAAATATTTGCGTACATTCAAAACAAAGGAAATAATTTTCCAAACAATTTTGAGCAAAAGAGGTACATACGCTTGTATCTAAAGAATAGGTTCCAAAAGAAGACCGGAATAGGAGGGAAAAAAAGGCAGATCTGATAAAAAAGATATTGTTTTGATCACCGATAGCACTTTTCCTGAAAAAGAGTGGTACGAATCGTAAAAAAATCGGCTGGTACATTTAGAGGATCGGTGACGAAAGTTTGTAAGATGGATGTGAAATGAGAGTTGAGTGAAGAAGGGGGAAGAAATGTTGAAGAGATATTCGTTAGTTATTGTTGGATATCGAAAATACTCCTTGACTATTATTGTTGTTGTTGTTGTGATGTGACAAATGAAAAACAGGAATGAACTGTCATTAACAAGACAAAAAACCGATGATAATATTCCCAAGAATTATCCTTAAGAAAGAGTGATATTTTCAGTGCAAGTGAAAATTTAAATTGACTGTAAAGATGGCTGAAGGATATAATTCTGCAGAAATGACGGATATGCTATTGGTTTTTTGGTATTGTGATGGAAATTGCCGCGAAAGTGTTAGGGTATACAGGGAAAGATATCCAAATCGGCGCATACCAAATCATCAAACATTCGCTGCTCTTGAGAGACGCCTTCGCGAAAGTGGAAAACTCCTTCAACTGTCAATTATGGACGGCAACGGGCGATAAAGAATCCTGAGGTTGAGGAACAAATTCTGGAAAGAATCGCTGAAAATCCAAAATTGAGCACCAGACGTTTAGGTTTAGAGGTAGGAGTATCAAAAAATGTAGTTCATAGAACATTGAAAGAACAGCAGCTTTATCCATACCACATCCCAGAAAGTACAAGACCTTTAGCCTCCGGATTTCGATCAACGATTGGATTTCTGTCGATTCCTCACCGATCGAACGAAGACAACAAAATGTGAATTTACTGAGCAAATTTTATTTACAGATGAAGCATGTTTTACAAGAAGTGGTGTAACTAACTTACATAACGAACAGGTCTATGCTGATGAAAATCCGCATGTCACGAAAGTAACCCATTATCAACATGAGTTCAGAATAAATGTGTGGGCAGGAATCACTGGCAATTTTATTATTGGTTCTGTCGTTTTACCGCCACGACTAAATGGTGTGGATTATTCAGAACATTTACGAAATACGCTGCCAGGGTTATTAGAAGATTTGCCATTACAACTTCGACAAGATAATTATGTGGTTTATGCATGATGGTGCTCACCATACTTTCCGTTAGCCGTCCGAAATTTTTTACATCAAAACTATCCAAACAGATGGATCGGTAGAGGAAATGACGCTCCGTTGGATTATTTTTTATGGGGGTCTTTGAAAACCATGGTATACTCCAGACCGATTAATAATCTAAAAGAGTTGTGGGAAAGAATTCAAAATTCAGTGGACATTGAAAAACGATGAGGAATTGATGCGAAGGGTACAATGGAACTTTTTACGTCCTATAAATCTTTGCACCCATGTTAACGGAGGTCATTTTGAACAATTGAAGTTTATGATAATTGAATTTACTTTCAGAATAAGAGTGTTTCTAATTCAATTTGAAAAGAATCCATACCTACCCAAATTCTTCCTAAAAAACTTTCTGTAACTATAACCTGCTGAAAATTACTTCCGCAACAAAAAAAGTTAAAAACTACACTGAGGAAAAAGTTATGACCATTCTAAATAATAAGAAGTGCATTAGTAATGGCCCTCTATAATGGCCACAGTGAAAAGATGTCTGTATTCGGGTTTCGCATCTCAAAAAACCCCAGACTGCCAATTTTCAAAGTTATCCGTGAAAAAACGTCCATGAATTTCAAAAAAATCGAATTTTATTTTTCAACTTTACTACAGTGTATCTCTTCACATCGGCTTATTATGACCTCAGGAATTTATGCTAGGAGTTTGTATAGACCTTTCAGGGACACCCTGTATATGCCAAAAAAATTCCACACTTCCCAGACCTACTGGAAGAGAGGTAATTTAGAACTTTGGCCTAGGGCGTAAATAGCTGCTAATCCGGGCTTGAGGACCGGGGTTCGAATCTCGTGGCGTTCGTCTTTTTTTTATTGGTACTGGCCCATCAATGTTCACAAGAATTCTGCCGTTTTGGTCAATTCTGACCAGCATATTATAAGCCAGCATGAGGCCGACCAAAATTGATTGCTGGGTACTAAATAATACTCAGAGTTATCACGATCATATTGAGAATTTTGTTGTGGAGATGATATACTGCATTTATTGTAGTATGATGAGAATAAGCACTTTTGGCAAATACAGAGTGTTCGTCATAAATTAGGTATGTATAACATGTGGAAAAACAATTTCACTAACACTACATATTTGTTCTTCAAAAGTCACATCATTGAGTGCCAAAATAGTTATTTATTATACAAGGGAAAAAAGTAATAGATTTTAGCACAGCGGAGGGAGACAAAAAACCGTGAGCTAAAATCTAATATTTTTCCCGTGTATAATACACTATTTTTTTCTGTGACAGAAGAAAGGACGAATCAATATGTAGAAGATATTATACATTATTTTGAGATCTGAAAATTATCGACGTGAAATTTTAAGTTTTTAACAGTAGGGACACCTGCGTTGTAGGCATCTTTATCATTCTTTCGAAGTAATCAAATATCTGATGTCACTTCTGTCAGTCAAATTCTGTGATTTGATTTCGAAAAATTGCGAATTTTAGTGGTTGTTTAGTAATATACGTAACCGCGAAGTCGAATGGAAGATAAAAGGACTTGCAGTTCTATCTCCGAGACGGTATTATTGACTCATTTTTCGGAACTATAGCACAACAAAAGCCATCAACAGTGTAGATATATGTGATATATATCCTGGAAAAAAGTACTCACTTTTTTCCCACGGGAAAAAAGTAATTTATGAAAAGTGACATCTTATAACCTGCCAACAGAGATGAAATGCCAAACTTTTTTCCCGTCACAGAAAAAAATACTTTATTCAACATTGTACCCAAACCAATTCAGAACAGAGCAATTTCAAAATATTTTTATAACCAATAACAAAAGCTATAATTCATTCTTGAACCACATGTTTTCGAGACCACCACGATAATCGCCTTTTCGATTATTATACATATTAAGCTTCTTGAAATAATTTTGAATGGCCTCGTTTTCTTCTGGATGATGAGCAAACAGTAAATGTAACTGACGTAATCGTTTTAACTTGTGCAGAAGCATCTGCTTCTGCCGCTTATTTGATTTTCTCCAGGTTTTCAAGGTCCCATCGATGCAAATCAGCGTCTCATTCAATAGAGATGAGTAGCATGAAGACTGTTCATTTTTCAACTAAAAAAAAAAGATCATGAATACACATTTAGTAAAGTGATGAAATAAAGATCAATGCTGAAAATAGGTATTTAACTAACAAGTGCGGGAAGTAGTACTTTCCCGCACGCGACAGCAGTTGCACGAACGACGTGGAGCGGGGTTCGGGCAAGCCGTCAAGGGTGGAAGAGACATTTTCCGCAATAGTTAGGTACCATGTTTTTCCTGCGAGTGTTTTTGTCCAAGACATCATCAAATGAAATGTACATTTTATGAACCTGAATAGTTGAAAAGGCTCAACCTTAACAATTCAAATCCGATCACAATCAAGCGAATCCAATAATTGTATGCTACGTATTGAATTACTCCGGGGGGCAAAAAAGTCGAAAGTACTGCAACGGACGGTCATATTGCTGAATTTTCCATGAAACTACCCAATTATTTTGAATTATTTATTCATTTGAAAAATGTTATACATATCTGTATAAACATTTGGAAAGATCAGTAAGCAGCACATGTGATGGTAACAGGATTTTTTGATTACGTATATGGTATTTCACATTTTTGTAAGACATACAATACTTAATATATACGATCCGAAACCCTTAAAGCTGTCATCATTTTCATAGTCGAACCCCTCACGTACCTTTTTAATAAATGTTTACAGTCAGGTACTTGGCCAACAATATTCAAAACAACCCTGGTTATACCCCTACATAAAAAAGGAGTAAAAACAGATGTTAACAACTATAGACCGATATCACTGATAACGCATATTTCAAAAATTTTCGAGAATTTAATTAAATATAGATTGAGCTCACACCTACAAGCGCATAATCTCCTTTCGCTAAATCAATTTGGTTTGAAAGCAAAAACTTCCACTCAAGATGCTATTTTAGCATTGACCAATGAAATCTACAATGCGCTCAATGACAGCATGTTTATGTATATTTTTAGATTTATCGAAACCCTTCGATACTGTGAACCACCCTCCACTTTTACAATCACTAGAAGATATTGGTTTGAAAGATAACAGTCTGAAACTCTTGGAAAGCTATTTAACCAACAGAAAACAAATCGGGACAGTGGATGGTATACTTAGTGACGAAGAATATGTTGAATATGGTGTTCCCCCAAGGAACCGTTTTAGATCCCATTCTATTCAATATATACGTAAACGGATTGTTCTCCTTGAGGAGCGGAGGTAAAATCATCGGATTCGCAGATGACAACTGGCAAAATATGAAGATGAAAGCTGAGACTGGTTTCTGGACAGTGAAAAACTGGCTAGATCACAAACTAATTACCATTAATTTCGAAAAAACTCACTTTTTACCTTTTTCGTGCAACAAATCCAATCCACCACCATATGATCAACTTTCTATCGAAATACAAGAACATACCTTCTCTATATTATCTGTATCAGATATGAAATATTTGGGCATATACATCGATTCTCACTTGAAATGGGACGTACACATAAATTATACTGTCAGAAAACTATAATGTGTGCTTTACAAAATTAAATGCCTAAGGAAGCTCCTACCCTTTTATCGCCTCAAAACTCTCTATCACTCATTGCTAGAGAGTCATTTGCGATATGGTATCCTACCTTGGGGTGCAGCTCTCAAAACTCATATTCAACCACTTGAGGTCATACAACGAAGAATTCTTAAAATAATTCTCAATAGAAACTGGAGATTTCCTACAGACGACATTTATCTGGAAAGTAAAGTTCTTGATATAAGACAATTATACTTCTTAAATATCAATTTGAAATTTCGTACAATTCGACATCACGCCAGTCTTCCCTCGCACAACTACAGAACTCGACAAAGAAGTCATCATATTATTCCTCATATGACGAAATCTTTATGCCAACGATCATTCAATTACTTGGTGCCAAAGGCATATAATACCTTACCAGAAGCAATCAAATCAATTGCCATCCAAACAATATTCAAAAACAGATTGAAAAATTTAGTAAAGGAGCTTGTAACCTTGAAATTAACCCGAGGGTCCAAGGTCTTCGGCTAGCGTTTCAGTGGAGATGGGAGGGTTCGATAAATGGGCGCCAGGTAATTCAATTACCTCCACTAACACCCAATGTGCACGATACAGACTACCACAAATTACCAAGTGGTAGTCTATCAAATCTAAGGTTGTATGGGCCAACAAATGAAAATAAATGCAAGACAGTTCCTTAAGAATTCCCCATTTAATGAAACTCACAAGTAAAAAAAAAACCCTATACAGAGGGGATGCGGTCACCCTTATGACCTTCAACCAAAATAAACAAACAATGGCTAAGTTAGTTTGAAGTTACTGAACCATTCCGCGAAGCGTTCAGGAGAAAAGAATAATTCAAGTAGGGTGCGGGGTAAATGCGTCGCTTGAGCTCAGGCGCATGCGCAGATATTCATAAACCCTAATGGTAGCTTATCGTTTCGCAGAACAGGTACAAGTCATTTAAATATCATAAACATAATAATCAAATATCCCGGTTGAGCAAATTCATAAGGGAGAGGTCAGTAGAATGGGGAGAGCACAAATAAATTCAACAACACTTCCAACATAAAGTCAACATCACCAAAATTCCCTCGGCGACTGCAGAATCAGGAACACCCTGTATAGCCCTAGACCGGGCCACCCTGTATAGGCTCTAACTGGTTCACCCTGTATAGAGTCCACGTGCTCCACCTGGTAGGGGCTTCACATGGGACGCCTTATGTAGACTACGATTGGGGCCACCCTGTATAGTCCTCACCGAGTACTTGGGGTTGACGAACCCGAGGAAATCTTGGTCCCAGAACCAAACCCGCAACTAAAACCCTGCAATCAGGACTTCTCCATCTCGTCAATTACTTCACGATGTCCAGTGAGGTTATGGAATGTTGCGGCGACAATATATCCTCACAAGAGAAAGATTTGGGTCATCGATCAAAAATTTCAACACACGTTGAATCACACAAATTATCACTACCCAAATCACTAAATGGCGGCCTCAGAACATAATCCTAATTAAAGATGATTATGAAAATCAAATATAATTCTGAAGACGCCAGTCAAACGCAATCAAGCCATTTTTCAGAGAGAGAGAGAGAGAGCTAACGAGAGACAGAACACCCACTCAAAGTCATCCACTGGTCATCGATTCAAAATTACCTGGGACGATCCCTCTAGGGACAGAATGCAAGGAGAGAGGGCGCAGCAGATAAAGGTATGTCCACGCCTGCACGAATCAATTTCACAGTATCAGCAAAGTACTGTTGGAAGCATTTCTGAATGCATAAAAAGATTGTACAGCCTCATTTGATAAATGCGACTGAATGACCCAAATAAATATTTCAATTACTGTCGTGTAACGTGCCTTCAATTTGATGAACTTCCATCAATGGTGGGACCAGAAATAAAGAAATTATATATGTCAACAAAACCCTTATCTCCAGTATATTTTGGTCGCCTGAGTATTAACGTCGAATTCTGTTGGGAATTTCATATTTTGCGATTCGCATAAATTTCGCGGAACCCGCACAGGCACGAACACACCTTAACCCGTGTCATTGCTGCGTCATACCGCACCTTACACTACTCCACAATTTCTACACTTCGTGCAAGAGGTACTGTTCCCTGACTGACAGCACGAGGGCGCGCGAGAACGCACGAGAACCGATGATCACCTAAAGGAAGAACAGCTCCGAGACCGCTTCCAGCTAACTTTACTTGAGTAATATAACCCGAAAATTCCAAACAACGTAAACAATAATACAGTGCCCACGGCCCCACTTTTATACCAACAATTCAATCAGTGCAGGACGTAGCGATCGTTCATTAGATGTTTATCACAATAGAAGTCAGATGGACTGAAAGGTATGCTAAACATTGTCTCGCTGCTCCCAGTGGATATTGAATCGGCCAACTGATTACTAAGTTGCTAAGAAATCAAATGATGTCTCTTCACAGTGAATGACCAGGTAGTTGATGGAGGTAGGTTACTTATCAATGTGTTTAATTGAGGATATATACCTAACGTAGAAAATGAACGTTACAAATCCCCCCCCTACTTCAAGAAATTTGCCCGCAAATTTTTCCCTAGACTCAAAACAAACTAAAATTCCTACTATCTATACCCCTTGAAACTTGTACCAGGTACCCCCTGGATACAAGACATGTCCTGAGACATCTTGGGCCCCAGTCGCCCCACAGATGGATGACCCTGACGATCGCCCGAGTGACGGCGTTCCAAGGGAGCCTCAGAGGGGCCCTCGCGAAGATGTCAGACGCGTCGTGGACCAGCCCTCTGGTCGACGTTACATCAGCAACCCTCAGACGCGCCGACACGCGCACGGCCGACCGAGCCCGCCATCCATGCCGCACTGGTCACCCGCCATGGAAGCCGAAACATGTAAATTAAATTTTGATTTAGGGCAAGCCCAAGGACTGCCAGTACAACCCTAGTGGACAGGAGGGCCCACCACCCTGAAACGGCGCTGATGCCGGAGCGAGATCCAACAAAACATTCGGGATTGTTCCACAACGCAGTGCGACGGACAATCCCGCGCTCCCTCGGCCCAGGGACCTTTGACCGAATTCAGGAGTACTGACGGGCCATAGTGACGGGCGCCCGTAGGCAACTCGCGATTCCGTCGACCGGTCAGCTCCTGGATTCGTTCTCCAGCCCCGAGCACGTAACCCTGAAACCGGGAACGCGACCTGCCCGCCCCCACTACGAATAGGTCCCTACCAAACAAAAACCCTCGCGCAAATAAACAACAACAAAAAATTGCCAATCCGAGTAACTACGAAAGGCCCAAATAACGAATACACGGAATTCTACACCCCAAGCGCACATGTGCAAACCGGGAACTCAGAACTGCTATCACCCCCGTTATCCCCACTCAAACTTGTACCCTTCTTGGTACAAGATATGTCCTAAGACATCTTGGGTCCCAGTCGCCCCACAGATGGATGATCCGGCCGATCGCCCGAGTGACGGCGTTCCAAGGGAGCCTCAGAGGGGC